TAGTGATGGGGCCAGTGAAGGGCCAAAAGAAATAGTTACTTCAGACAAGGTGATCACCAAACTGTGAACTGAGACAGAGCACAAGTTTGGATGTCCTTCCTAAAGTTTACATATAGAAACAATCAGGAACAAAAAGAAAGAAAAAGTCACATTGTACTTGAAATATGAATGAATGAATGATTTTATTATCACATGTATTTTACAGTGAGAAAAGCAGTAAAGTACGCTGAAAAGCTTTTCCATTGTTGCCTTGATTGGGTGTGATTTTGAATAGTTTTAAGAATAAGAAAGGAAGGATTTAGATTAAAGAGAATCCATTAGCCCATTGTGGAGGAGGGCCCTTACTTTTTCTGGGGTAAGCATAGGACCCCAGAATCAGCAGCTGCTACATCAGCAAAGGTGACATTGGTGAGATAGGCCCAGCGGCGAAAGATGACCCCTGAGGATCAGTGAGTTTGTTGGTTGGGTCTGGCACTTCCGGTGGAAAAGTAGTGGTAGAAGGGCATCATGGTAACATCAAGGTGGGCCACGAGAGAGACGCAACTCCATTGGTGGGTCCGGCACAGGCAGCAGCAAGGTGGTGGTGGTGATGAATTGGCCCAGCGGCGAAAGATGGCACCTGAGGATCGGCAACTTCTGACCCGGCTCAGAACTCAAATATACGTGGACTTTTCTTTAAGCTGTATCTTTTCATTTTTCTCATTCTTAAAACTATCAAAATGGTGCTGTATCGTGGTGAGGAATAAAAGTTTTACACCATATTTTGTGGTTATTTTACACTGTAAAATACACATAATAAAATCATTCATTCATTCATTCATCATCAATGACACCTGTGCCACCATTCCTCCTCCACCACCTCACTGCCGTCTACATCGGACTCAACCAACGCTGAAGTTGCCACACTTCAGGCACCATCTTTTGCTGCGCAGATTCTCCTCCACCAGCTGTGCCGAACCCACCAACATCACAATCGCATCATCGATGTCACATCGTCCTTCACCCACTGCTTCGCCACTGCCAGCGCCAGACCCAACAGATGACAAAGTTGCTGATCCTCAGGCGCCATCTTTCGCCACTTGGCCTATCTCACTGATGTCACCTCCGCCAATGTAGCAGCCGCAGATTCTGATGCAGGTCCTGTGCTCACACCAGAAAACTAAGTAGGGGCCCCCTCACTACCATGAGGTCGGCGCTGAGCCCACTTATGTCTGCCAATGCTGTCCGAGCTCAGGATGAGCTAAGTAAGAAGAAAAGTGATCAAGATACAGGCACAGTTACAACATTTTAAAAGACATTTGGATAGGTACATGAATAGGAAAGGTTTAGAGGGATATGGGACAGATGTGGGAAATGCTGGCAAGTGGGACTAGTTTAGTTTGGGAAAGTTCATTGGCATGAATGAGTTGGACCAAAGGATCTGTTCCAATGCTATATGACTCTGACTCTGTGAAGAGCCATAGCGGACACAAAATGTTAACTCTATTTCTCTCTTCACAGATGCTGCCAGACCTGAGTTTCTCCAGTTTTCCTTGCATTTGTGAAAGAAATACAATTGCAACATTTAAAACGCATCTAGATGGGTATATGACTAGAAAGGGTTTATAAACATATGAGCCAAATATGGCAAATAGGGCTAGGTCAGATTGGGATGTCTGTGCGGATGAGTTGGACTGAAGGGCCAGTTTCCGCGCAGTATGACTCTGAGCTGTGCTTTTTTTGTGTGTTTCTGTGTTTTCCTCTGTACCCACTTAGACCAGAGCAGAAGCAAACTATTCTGTTGAATGCGGAGGTGTCATTTCCCATGGGGAAGTGTTTGGCTCTGTTAGCCAGTGTGGACCTACTCTTGAAATGTACTTGAAGAGCAGCAGGCAGTCTCACCTGATCATCTTATATGCCTCAGAAACGGAGATACAAAGTTTGTCTTTCTTGTGCTTGACAAAGAGAAAGCTCAGTTCATTTTGGCCACTTTGTGAAGAATATTAGATTCCATGGATGTGATGACTGCCATGTGTGTGTTTCTCCAGGGTTTTTTGCTTTTGTGTCTCAGATCCATGGGAATGGAAGTATTCTTGTTGGCAGCGGGAGCACATCCTATTACAGTTGATAATTGTAAAGGGATGAATGATCATGTATCTTGTGAATTTAATTCATGGGTGGTTATTGGCAAATCAGCTAATGTAATGTAATTAGAATTTTATGTATAATCGAGAAGCTTGGCGTTCCAGGTGGGTCTTTGGTTTAATGTCTCACCCAAAAGTTGGCATCTCTGACAGAGTAGAGCTTACTCAGAAACTGCATTAGGTGTGTCAGCCTATATATTCAAACTACATCCTTTATTTATTTGATAAAATGCTGTATCATTTTGTGTGATTAATAGATGAATGGGAGAGTTATACAATGTTGGGACTTAGAGCATTAGACTTTTTCTGCAGTGCAAGCTGAGGAACTGAGTTACAAAACTATAATCTGTCAGGAAAATGTGATCAGTGTGTGACAAGTTGATTTTGACAGATTTCATCAATGTTTCTTATTTGTCCAAGGGATATGGGCATCAAGGGCAGTATCAGCATTTGTGCTGTGACTAGTTTTACTTTGCAGTGGTGAGCTGCTTTCTTGAATCACTGCAGTTCATGTGGTAGTGAGACTGCCATGGTATTGTTAGTGAGAACTTTTCAGGACATTGACTGCAACTGAAAGAGCAGCAACATGGTTTCAAGTCAGGATGATGTGTGGCTTTGAAGGAAACTTGCAGATGGTGGTTTCATATAAATCCGTTGCCCTGGGTTTGGAAAGACCTGTCAAAGGAGCCTTGCTGAGTTGCTGCAGTGCTTCATGTGAGGGTACATAGAACTGAGATTGTGTGTCAATGGTAGAAGTGGTGAATATTGAAGATGTTGGGTGGAGTGTCAAAGTGGGCTGCTTTGTCTGGGTGGTGTCATGCCCTTGAGTGTTGTTGGAACTGTATTTATCCAGGCAAGTGGGGAGTATTCCATCACAATCCTGACTTGTGGCTTCCAGATAATGGTCAAGCTTTGGGAGTAGGAAATGAGTTACTCACCTTAGATTTCCTAGATTCTGATCTGCTTTTGTAGCCCCAGTATTTATACGGTTATTGTTATGGCCCAAAACAGACTGCCAAATCAAATCAGCCTCCTTATCCGTGTGTTCGCAACATAGAAAACTTAAAAATTCAATGAGCCTCAAAATTGAGCTCAATGGTTCACAACCAGATTTTGTGAATAACCAAATCAGACTAAAAGGAGTGTCAAA